ATCAAATCCAGCCAGCCCAGCCCCCAGGTCATTTTCCACATCCCATTTAGCCAATGGCCACCATGCCACTCTCTCATTTGTGGAGGAGGACACGGGTGAACTGATTCGTGCAAGGTCATACAAAGGTTTTCTGTCTGTTGGTTATGGTGCTGTCAGATCTGTGTGGATAAAGAGAGAGGCCCTGCCTCTTCCCTCTCCTGGCATGAATCCATCTGGAAACTAGCCTCCATTTCTGTGTCAGTGGGCAGTGCCACTCACTCCTTGGTGCCTGAAAGCAATGACAGAGTAGCCAATCTGCTCCCTCTCCTTCAACTTGAGCTACACTTCCCAAGAACAGCTGGAGACAGCTTCTGATCAAAGTCTAACTCTTTCCACATCTGTTCTTTTCCATCTGCTATAAATACTGGTGGGAAAATAGCATGTGTCCAGAATTCCCTTAATTTAGAGAAGCTCCTTGTGCATGAACCTTTCCATACCATAGCTTGTAAAGTGAACAGGAATAAAGTTTCCTTACTGATTTAGTTCTCAGATTTTGAGCAGTGAGTGTTTTAATTACAACAGATTGAAGTTAAAATTTTAATTTAAATTTTCACTCAAAGAAATCCTTTCCATTTGCCTGATTTCTCTGAGTAAACTTCAGCTTTTTTGTAATTCTTACCAAATGTTACCTTAAAAAACCCTGTCATTTCTCAGAAAGTTAAAATCTTTTCCACATATGGAATTTCATTTAAAGCTACCAGTTTTCTATCTAGGTAAGTCAGAATAGCCAAGGCCACAGAAACAATTTCCACATGGAGCTCACTCTCTTTTTCTTTCTGTCTTTCAATCTGTTTGCACTCACAGGGATCTGGCCTCCCCAGATAATTCTGCATTTCAGTCCATCCTCCTTCATCCTGAGGAGATGGGCAGAATACCCTTATTCCCGGCTGCAACTTCCAAGTTCAACTTTTGCCACGGTCACTCAGCAAACTGCTCTGAAGTTCATGCCATCTCAATTTATCATCCAATCCAGGCCACAGTGGCTATTGTTTACTGGTCCCAAGTTAATTCTGTGCCAGTATGCCTCCTCTCCCCAATCCGTACTCCTATTCTAGGAGACATCAAGGCCCATGTTACTGAGGCCTTGGACATTTTAACATCCTGGTTCCTCAAACTTCTCAAATCCCATGAATGATTTCTCTACTCCGTGTCAGCCATGCATAGGGTATCTGACCAATACCCTAAAGTGATCTTCCGTGGCTAAAAAAATCTGCCAATCCTCTGACAATAACATCCCAATATTCCTATTCTCCCCATGGCTGACTTTTCCCTCTTGCCCAGGAAGCTGTTGGGAAAACCTCATTATCCTGCAAGATCCCATCAGCTTCCTCATTACCCTCCACCCCGCTGACTGAAGGATGGAGCTCCCAAACTTCCCATTTAAGGAGGGAGCTCAGCTCAGCACATCTCATTTCTTTTCTGGCTGCACTACTTTGGGATAAGTCTGACTTCACCATGCCCCTTCATTGGGCACTTTGCCCCATTTCCCCCGCAACCCTCCTAACTTTTCAGTTTTTTGTGTATTTTCCTCTATTATATTGTAAGGTCCTTGAGGGCAGTGACAGTCTTACTTCTTTCATATTTGTATCCCCTGTACTTAGCACAGAGCCTGGCGCATAGTAGGAGCTTAGTAAAGGTTTACTGGCTTAGTAAATGTTGACTATGACCTTGAATCCTTCTCTTTCTCAGTATATTTTTTAGGTCATTAATGCTGTTTTCCTTTTCCTAATTTAAAACATATGATTAACCAGTTCAATTTCACACTGTTCTTTACTCTCAAGTTTCTTGTCCCTGTCCTATTGCCACACAACGCTTGCTAAATCTTAACCCTGAATTACTTCTACCATCTACCTCCTCCATTTTTGCATGCTGCTAAACAAAGCTAGAGAAAATCATGGAACCAAACTGACTGCATCCAAGGCAGATGTATGTTATCTAATCTTAATTGGTCATCAGTTCTGCAATACTTTTATTTCTCCCTAGTGGATTTTCTATCCTACACATACAGCCATTCCAAACCTTCTCTTTAACAACACCCCTCACCTCCCCAAACATCTCAGCTGGAAACCTTGCTCTCATATTTTGCTGATAAAAAACATGAGTTCCCTCTTCATTTCATAGGATCCTAGATTGAGCGAAAAGGAACTACAGTAGACAGCCGAACCCAACATCCTCAGTGAGACACTCAAATAAGACACTGAAGTGTAGAGACCCTGCACTACACCACACTGTCCTTCCAAACCCCTCAACATCACCCTTCATTATCTTTCTTTCCTCCAATTTCTGAAGCATCTGTCCTTTAGCCCCTCTACATGTCTACTTGATCCCTTCTTTTCCAGCAAACCCACTCTACTCCTCAATCTACTGGTTCCTTCCATACTGACTTCAAAATGGCCAAGTCTTACCCAACCTAAATACCCAGTAAATCCTGTCATGTCTTCAAGCTATCATGCTGCGTCTCTCCTCTTTTTCAGTTAAACTTCCACAAGATGTATATATGCCTTATCTCCATTTCCTCTCCTTTCACTCATTTCTCAAGACTTTGCAATCTGACTTCTCATCTTCTGACTTCTCCACCAAAACTGCTCTCTTTAAGGTTATGAATTATCTTTTAAAAAGGTTTTACTTAAACATCAAAAAAGAGCATTTCCAGATACACAACAGAGCACAAAAGGATTCTAATATGAAAGTATGAATCTCCATTTCCTAACACTTGCTTTTTCAAATGTATATTACAAATCCTACATTTTCTTTTCAAAACTGTCCTGCTTGTCTGCGCTTCCTTCTCTTCACTTTTATTTTTCCCGCCTTGTCATAAGAGATCTTTAATTCTAGCACCTGAAGCTCTACAAGGGTACATACTTTATCAGCTTCATGGGACTGTTGCACACATTTGGTTGAGTGGCAACTATGCGACAACACAGCATCTCCAAATGAGGGAACTTTGCTTAAACACAAGCCATAAGATTTTTTTAAAAGTCGGAAATCATCCACAGTAAGAGTCTGTTCAGAGCTGTGCAGTTTAATGCTTAATGTAAACAATCAGTCTCTCCTAAGGGCTACTGACAGCAACTTTGAGATCTACGTCCCGGGTTTCATATTCTGTGACAGTATCTTGGCCAGCAATATCAGTGGTCATAATTGGGCCCCACTAAAGCCCAGAAGAATAAGTTTTACCATAGTTTATGCAAATTTCACATGCATTTTTTTTTGTTAGAAATAAACTGGGAAAATGAAATACTCACTTTTTGTTTTGTTTTGTTTTTGCTAGGCAATGGGGTTAAGTGACTTGCCCAGGGTCACACAGCTAGTAAGTGTTATGTGTCCGAGGCCAGATTTAAACTCAGGTCCTCCTAAATCTAGGGCTGGTGCTCTATCCACTGTGCCCCCTAGCTGCCCCTAAATATTCACTTTTTGCACATACATGTTATGCTACAAAAATGTACCAGCTAACAAATATATGAAAATGACAAGAAAACTGATAAAAGGATAAAGCAAATACACTAATCATCTCTAACTTTGCAAAGATTAATTATTTTTTAGTTTTTTTTTTTTAATTTCTTACCCAGAAATACAAAAAAAGAAATTGTTGTTTGACCTGAGGGAGCTTCCTAAGAAACTGAAATATTTCTGTCCAGAATGAGTGCAGGTATTTGGTCACAGAAAACACTATCATTAACCATAAAGCAACAATGAGAAGAGCAATAAAATCTCTATAATTATTCTGGATACATGGGAGAAAATACAATATAAGGTTAGGTGTTTTTAGCCCCTGGAAACCAGAAGCTACAGTAATCCATGAGGTCTAAGATACATCATTTTTGCTAAATCATTTCAGTGGGTTTAAAGCTAGCTGAAGTTGAAATAAAAATTTTAATTTCTTTGGTAAAAAGCTCCTTCACATCCCTCCACTACAAACAAAATACAAATAAGAACTCACCACAAAATTCCCCAAGTTTTGATTTAGGATGATAATAGGCAAGATGACTTCAGAAGTAAAAATTAATCATTTTATATATGGTTTTAACTTGGATGAAAATTTGATCCCCTAGGGTAAAATATCCCCATTATAAGTCCTTAAAGTATGTGTGTTGTAGGCATACACATCTAGCTTTTAAAAATAATAATTGGATGGTCTTAGAGAAACAACCTTAGTGTTTTCTTTACATCTGTCCTGACACATCTGTAATGTTATCTCCAAGGCCAGGATTTAGCCCTCTTCTTGGACGTCTAGTTAGCCACTAATAATAACACTAATAATGTGTGTAAGGCCAGAGAGGTATCCAACAGGAGAACGTAAATTAGGAAGGAAGGAAAGGAACAAAAGAGGGCCTTTTTCTGGAAGTCAGTAGCTAAGATAAATGAAATTCCTAGAAATAACACAATGTCTTTTCTCATCTTTCTCTTCCTTTACTGGCTCTAAGGAAGAATAGCATTTCTTCTTGAAGTTTCTTAACACCCCATACAATTTCATGGAAAGGTTGGTCTAAGTTCATCCTAACTTTTGCAGATACCTCCATGTATGTCTTTGTTTGCTTTGCAGTTTGCTATCTTCTTTGATTGTTAAGATCTGCTTTATCATGAACTGGAATGACTGGAAACTCATCATGGTCTTTTACTCTGAGGATCTGCTTATGCATTTTATAGATTTCTTCAGAGTCCTTGATAAGTGACTGAAAAGACCAGCAAGAAATCCTCTCCAATCCTCACATCTTATATTCTCATCATCCTACACTCTTATTTGCCCTTTTGTGCCAAGAATATCAACCCCCTTCCCTAAAATCTGTCACAGTTTGGTGTATGAATCTTCAATTGTTAGATCATAATCCATAAGATAGGACTGGCTGAACTGGATAGTGAATGTTGATTTGCTGACACTGCTTCCAATGTCCACCACTACTTGGTACTTCTGTCCAGTCAGGACACCACGGTCTTGGGGTATTGCAACGATTTGGGCCAGTCCAGCTCATGCTTAGGCCCTGGTCCTCCAACCAGGGGTGGAGCTAGAAGTTATTCTCTTGCAACAGCAAGTAGACTCAAGCTTACTCCTGTTACAAATGGTCTGTGAAATTTAAAACATTTTAAAATAGGGCCCTATATATCGTTTGGCATTACTAATTCTAATCCACTCCCTTGATCGCTCCCATTAAAAAGCATGAGGAAGAAAAAAAACTTCATAGCAAATAAGCATAGTCAAGCAAACTGCATGTTAAATATCCAAATATTCATCTCCAAAATGTCTCTGTGGTTTGTGCCCATCCCTTCTCTGTGAGAAAGTAGGTAACATGCTTCATCATAGAGCCTCTTGAGACAAGGTAGTGATTGCACTGATCTGAGTGCATGAGTTTTTCCAAGTTGTTTTCTTTGCAATGTTGCTGTCCTTGTAGAAATTGTTCTCCTGGGCTCGCTTCCTTCACTTGGTGTAATTTATTGTGATGCCATAATATTCCATTCTTCATATATTACACCTTGTTCAGCCATCCCCCAATTGACTAAGGCACTCTTCTAGGTCCTAGTTCCTTTCTCTCCCCATTTTAATTTTAGGATGAGGAAATCTGTTTTGTTTGTATGTTCCTTCCATGATATTATCTTCCTCTATCTTAGCTCCCTCCCCCGCATCCCTGTTGAGTTTGGTTAATTTATACACCAAACTGCCTGTGTGTTAAACTCTCCTTTGCCCATTATATATAAGAATAATATTCTTTTTACCCTCCCTTCTCTTTCTCTTCTCCAAACGCTGAAAATGGCAGTCCACTCCAAGTCTCTCCATTTAACTCCTTCAATACTCTTTGAAGAAATTAAGGTTTTTAAGGGATATGTGTTTCTCCCCATGACCCCCAACAGAATGTTGGTACTACGTAATTATACAGCTTATTGCTACTACTCAAATAAATTTACCTTCAAGGTTATTCTGTAATCTATTTGCATTTCAAAGTTCCTACTAAAATCTTGTCTTTTATCAGAAACATTTGGAAGTCCTTTGTTCCATGAAAGGTCCATTTCCCCAAGCCCTGGTAAGATCATACTCCACATTGCAGGGTAACTCTGAGTTGCCTTTCGAAATATCGTATTCCAAGATCTCCTCTTGTTTTCAGTAGAAGCCAATGGATTTTAGATGAACTGCTAACTGTAGTTCCTTGGTACTTGGAACAACTTCTTTCTGTATGCTGGGGATATTTTTTTTTTCCTGTGTGGGATAGAGGCATTTTGTCTCTAAGATTCCTCGAGCTTTTCCCTTCAGGAGGTGGTGATTAGTAGATTCCAGCTTTACTTAATCCTCTGGATCTAATATAGTCTCCAGACCTTTTTTTCTTTATAGTTTTCTGGGAATTCAATGACATTTATCTCTACTTCGTATGTTTTCCTTATCAGTCCTTTTTGATAAGATACATTCCCCCCCCACCTTTTCATTCTTTTGACTCTGTTCTAACATTTCTTGCTGCCTTATAGAGTCAATGATTTGTGTTTGAGGTAATCTATTTTTCTAGAGACTTTCTTAAATGAAGCTTAGGGAACAGTTTTAAACTATGTTATTCCTAGTTCTTTCCTCCAAAGGTTTTACTTAATTCTTTATCTTTCACTTTATTTCTTCTAGGTATTTGTGTAGTACTTGTGGAACATGCTTTGACTCTCTGCTAGCAGTCTTACAGAGTTGCTCATTTGGAGAATGTATCTACAAAAATTTCTGACACAGGTCGATATCATCTTATATTTACCCATCTCTCTAGCTTTATTTCCTAAATTAGGCCTCTGTGCCAGGGCCAGGCTCAGGCCCCTGGTGAGGCTTTGGGTTCAGTGGTTGGCTCTGCTTTGGTCCCACTTTGGGTCACCTGGGCTTTTAAATTGACTTCCACCTCCCAGGGTTAGGCCCCCTAGATTCTTTGAGATTCAGAGACCTGGGTCTTCTGGCCCCTCTCCAACACCTCAAGAAGAGTGCTGGACCGGAATCCCTGGAGCAGGGCTATTCTATCCTGAGAACAGCTGCACTAAAGTGGTCCCTACTTGTTCCCACTCCTGGGGCTTCTAATGCCCCCCGCCTTGGGGCCTTCTTGGAAGAGCTCTCTGCTCTTGCTGCCTCCATACACAGACACTTGTAGACTAAACACGACCCTGCCCAGATCTGGTTGTGCTAGGAGGCTGTCCTGTGCTGGAACCAGACCTCCAGCGACCCTCTTTCCTACTGTCCTCAGGTTTCTGGTTAGCCTCCAAAGCATTCAGAAATCATTTATGGTAGTTTCTCATGTTATTTATAGATTATTCCATGTGCTATCGTCTTCAGGGCTTTGTTGGAGTAGGTATGTGGGAAATGAATGGTCTGACTACAATGGAGGTAGCTATTTTGGACAATATCAAAGCCTTAAATTTCCCAATTAGTTTCTTTGCAGATTCCTTGGGCTTTTCCATGGAAACCATGATGACATCAGCAGATGAAGTATAGTTTTGTCTCCTCTTTGCCTGTCTTTATAAAGCCTTCATTTCCCCCCCCCCTTGCTATTGTAGTAACTCTAAAAACATGCTGTAAAATATCAAGGAAAGAGGCAGCTTTCTTTTCCTTCTCTATTTCTTGAGGAAACTTACACTATTCCCCCACTGCATATAATGCTAGCTTTTGTACCAATGCTTTTCTCCATATTAAAGTTCTTTCTATGCCTTTGCTTTGTAGGATTTTTAGCATGTGTGTTGTACTTTGGCAAAAGCCTTTCCACTATCTATTGGGTTAATTGTGTGGTTTTAGATGGTTTTTTTTAATGTAATTGTTCTAATTGTTTTCATAATGTTAGACCACCTTTGAATCCCTGGTATTAATCCAATTAAATCACAGCTAATGATTGGATAGAGGGGGCAAGTTTTCATTTTGAATGCTACGAAATTATAGTGAACAAGTTTAGCCCAAAGAAGGTATATATACCTTTGAAATATAGATACTTCTTGAAAGACTTGAGGGTACTGAGTGTGGAATACTGCATCTAATTTTTTTTTCATTTTTTCTATTATGTTGCTTAGTTTTTTTGAACTTTCCCCCCTCTTTAGTATTTGTTACAAGGAGTAACTCTCTGGGAGGGAGAGGAATACAATAGGAAACGCAGGTGATGTAAAAACAAAAGATATCAATGAAAAAATTAATAGAAGTTGGTAGAATTCTTAAAGAGACATTTGAATAAGATACATCTGAGAGTCCAGTCTTTACTAGATGAGCGAACCCTACTTACATTAGAAAGGAACGTCAAAAAAGTAAAAGAACAGAAAAAAGGGAAGAGAGCATTTAGGGTGACAGACAAATAATAGAAGCTATCAAAGAAGTACTAAAAGTACACTCCCAACAGAAAGTACTGTCAAATGAGATGCCCACCTGGGGGAGAGAGTCAGGGGAAGGTAAGCAGTAGAGTCAAATACAAGATAGAACAGACCAACTCTGCAGTGACATTTGGTATGGCAGACTACCATTAGGACCTCTTCCAAGAATAAGACTCCAATCTCTACAAACAAGGAGACATTCCATTCCACATCTACAGTGTTCACACTTGCCAGCCCAATCTTTGGGGTCCAACAACAGTGAGGATGACAGTCCCTTTTTATACAGAAGTGCTCCGAATATGTTAGCTTTTGGTATCTCACTGAGTCATCTACACTGGCCATGTACTCTCCTGCTAAACCAATTTTTTCCACCTGGAATAGCATTCTCTGGGCAAGATCTCAAGAAATGATAATCCACTTTGCCTTAGAACACTTGCCCTGAGGGTGAGCTGTCCTAATTGCTAAGTGAGTACAAACTCCACTAGCCTTCTATATCTAGTTGGCCCCAGACCATGATATGTTTAACATCTTATTCAGCCACTCACCCTACCCATTTTGCCATGCCAAACAAGGCAACAAGCTTTCTCTTGCATATGAGTTTTCTTTGGAGAATAAAGTTTGCCCTCTGCTGAACCCTTTCCCCACATTTATTGCATTCCAAGGGTTTCTCTTAGCATAAATTTCCCAATGATACTCTTGGCTGAAGGATTTCTTAGTTTCCATTTAGGTTTCTTTTAATTATGAACTCAAACATGAAAAATAAAAGAAAAATTTACAAAGGAAAAAGAATTTACATGAATATGTAAACTATTATGTACACTTTAAATGAATATTAACTTTAACAGGATAGTAACAAATCTATCCTTGTCAGAATTCATTATGCATAATTCTGTGGTTTGTTTTAGAAACTTTTTTTTTGCATCAGTATCGACCCATACCCTCCCCCACAACATTTCTCATGCAAGGTAAAAGCTCTCTGTTGTAATAAATATGATTAAGCAAAATAAATTAACACTCATCATGTCTGAAAACTTCTGAATCTTCAGTCCAAGAGTCAGCAAATTTTGGCCCTTGGAAGGCCCATCACCTGCTTCTGTACAGGTCCAGCTAAGAATGGTTTATACATTTAAAAAGACAATAAAACTTTATAATGTAAAAACTATTCTTGGGTTTCAGGCCATAAAAAATAGGCAGTATGCCCTGCTGAGCCCAAAGCCCTGCAGCAAGTCCATCATTTCTCTGCTAAGAGGTGTGAAGAATGTTTCAATATTTCTCTTCTGTAGTCATGACTGATCACTACATTGATTTCTGAAGTTGTTAAAGGTAATTTTCCTTCACATTTTAATAGTTGTTATATAAATTGTTCTCCTGGTACTAAAGTATTCTCTACATTCAAAGGATTTCTCCTTATAGTATGTCCTTTGAGGTCTACTTAATAAGATTTTCATTCCAGCTAAAGCCTTTCCCATATTAATTTTTCAACAGTGAATTCTGATACACAGTGTGTCTACTTTCAATGAAGTCTTCCCCACATTTATTGCAAAAGGTTATGATACCTAATTAGGTTTGCCCTCCACCTATCCTTCGCTACATTCATCACATTCAATGGGTTTCTTTCCAGTGTGAGTTCTCTGGTGACTTTTAAGAATGTTGTCACTAAAGGTCTTCACTTATGTCTATATTCAAATGATCTCACTCTTGTATGAATGAATTCTCTGATGGCTTTTAAGAACATTACTTGAACTGAAGGCTCTCCCACATTCATTGCATTCAAAAGGTTTATCTCCTGTATGAGTTCTCTGATGGCTTTTGAGACCATTACTTGAACTGAAGGCCCTCCTACATTCATTGCATTCAAAAGGTTTCTCACCGGTATGAATTCTCTGATGGCTTTTGAGAACATTACTTGAACTGAAGGCTTTCCCACATTCATTACATTCAAATGGTTTCTCTCCAGTATGAGTTCTCTGATGCCTTTTGAGCCCTTGGCTCTCACTGAAGGCTTTCCCACATATATTACACAGAAAGGGTTTCAGTCCAGTATGAATTCTCTCATGGGCAATAAGTTGTTCTCGCCGGCTGAAGACTTTCCCACATTCATTACATTCAAAAGGCTTCTCTCCTGTATGAGTTCTTTGATGTCTATTAATGGATGCCCTCTCACTGAAGGTTTTCCCACATTCATTACATTCAAAGGGCTTCAATCCACTATGAATTTTCTGATGTCTAATAAGGCTTCCTTTCCGGCTAAAGCCTTTCCCACATTCACTGCATTCAAAGGGTCTTTCTCCAATACGAGTTCTATGATGTGTGACGTGTATACTCTCACTGAAACTTTTCCCACATTCATTACATTCAAAAGGTTTCACTCCTGTATGAATTCTCTGATGTCTAATAAGATTTTCCTTCCGACTAAAGCATTTCCCACATTCATTACAAACAAAAGGTTTCTCTCCAGTATGAGTTCTCTGATGTATAACAAGGCTTGACCTCCACTGAAAGCCTATCCCACATGCATTACATTCAAAAGGTTTCACTCTAGAATGTATTTTCTGATGGCTTTTGAGAACATTTCTGTCACTGAAGGCATTCCCACATACATTACATTCAAAGGGTTTAACTGCTATGTGAGTTTTCTGATGAATTTTGAGAACACTTTTCAAACTAAAGGCTTTTCCACATTCATTACATTCAAAAGGTTTTTCTCCAGTATGAGTTCTCTGATGTCTATTAAAGGACCCTCTCTGACAGAAGGCTCTCCCACATTCATTACACTGAAAGGGTTTCTCTCCAGTATGTGTCCTCTTATGCATAATAAGATGCCCTTTCCAACTGAAAGCCTTCCCACATTCATTACATTCAAATGGTTTCTCCCCAGTATGAGTTCTCTGATGGCCTTTGAGTACTTGGCTCTCTCTGAAGGCTTTCCCACATACATTACACAGAAAGGGTTTCACTCCAGTATGAGTTCTCTCATGAGTAATGAGTTGTTCCCTCCTGCTGAAGACTTTCCCACATTCATTACATTCAAAGGGTTTCTCTCCAGTATGTGTTCTTTGATGTCTAGTAACAGATGCTCTCTCACTGAAAGTTTTTCCACATTCATTACATTCAAAGGGTTTCACCCCAGTATGAGTTCTCTGATGTCTAATGAGGTTTGACCTCCAGTTGAAGTCTATCCCACATTCATCACATTCAAAGGATTTTTTTCTAGTCTCAATTTTCTTCTTTTTAATCAAGCTTCCTCTGTTGATAAAAGTTTTCCCATAGTTATTACATTCAAGTTTCTCTCCAATATGAATTTTCTGATGTCCAATAACATTTGATCTTCTTCCATACGGTTTTCCATATTCATTGTGTTCATGTAACTTTTCTCCAGCATGTATTCTATAAAATTTAATTAGATCTGAGTGGTAACTGAAGTGCTTCTTCAACTTGTACTTAGAAAGGTTCTTACCTAAGGAGAATGTATTACATGTAAGTAGGTCTGAAAAATCCCTGAAACTCTTTCCAAGTGTCTTATATTTTTGGAGACTTTTCTCCATAGTCCCTCTCCATAAAGGAACAAAGACTGACTCGAGGAGTAAACTCTTCCCCAAGGCATGACATCGAGGCACACTCACTTCACTAAAAATAGTTCTCTGAGACACTGTTACTTGTTTAGCTTGCCTCTCCTGGCCAACCCTCCATTTCTCTAAATTAAGGTCACATTCCACAGCTTCTGTCTCTGTAGACTGCCAAGAACTAGCCTGTGTTAGCCTCATCTTGGCTGATGCTCTTGTGAAAATGTCCTGCATGAGACTTGGGTCTTTGGTTTCAAACCTAGTCTCCTGACTAACAGAATCTGAAAGATAATTTTTAAAAGTTACCAGCAATTATTACCTGTGATGAGAGAAAGGAATCTTTAGTGCAAGTTCTAGTTTCTAACTATTCCATCAAGGAGAATAAGGCATCATTTGGGTCAAGTAGAACCAACATTGTTTACGGGAATTGAAAACAAAGACAAATGAAGCGAAAGCAGAACATCTAGCTGACCTGGATGTGATGAATTACATTCCTTGGAACTGAAGATATTTCCAGGTGTCATTAAAAACAACATTCAATGAAACACAGAATTATCTTCTGTAGGATAGAATAGTGGAAAAACAACACAGTAAAGGGGGAAAGTAGCTTAGAAAATTAATGAACTGGAAAACAAACTTAGAGTTTAGGCAGACAACAATGATGGATCAGTAAGAATGAGTAAAGTTAGAAAATTTCAGAATTACTGACCTTTCCCCACGGCAAGAACAAAGACATATAACCAATATATTTCAGAAAATTATTTTTTAATTCCCCAAAATAGTTAGCAGATGAAACAAATTTGTTGAATAACAACATGAGTAAACACCTGGTTTAATTAACCCAGGTAAATTCTTAATACTAGAATGACTAAATGATTTTAAGTCTTCCATGAATCACAAAATCAGAATTTCAGAGTTGGAAGGGATCTCAGAGGTCATCCTCTCCAACTCTTACCTGAAAGAAAACCCCACTATAAACTACTCTGCAAATTGGTTATTCACACTCTTCTGCTGGCAGATATCTGAGGAGGTACACAGTGAAACCTGATGCCTTTCAAGGTGGCCCATTACCCTTTTAGACAGTTCTTATTGTAATTCATCTGGAACAAGAGATCCTGAATTTATCATAGGCAGCAAAGTGCTCTCTTACTTTCTCCTTACTTATATTCAGTATTATCTCCTTTTCAGTAATTTTTGTTCTTTAGTTTTCAGTATAAAGATCATTCTCTCTTGTAGAAAAAAAAATAATAATAACTGAATAACTCTATTTTCTCTGTTGTCAGTTATCATCCATCTGTACCTTTATGGATCCTCTTTTTTCTCCTAATAGAAGAAAGGTATGACATATAATATCAATCTGATTTGCACAACACTTTCTGTGAAAAAAAAGAGAGAGAGAGAGAGAGAGAGAGAGAGAGAGAGAGAAGAGAGAGAGAGAGAGACAGTGTAGGGTCCCTCTGGACAACTCTGTCAACATCTGCCAGCACTGAAAAATAAAGCACTCAATAAAGCAAACACAGTTCACCAAGCCCAACTGGTGTATTTACTCAGTCATAAGCTAGCTGAAGAAAGGATGTGTAGTGACAACCTAAGGCTCAAGGACCATCCAGAAGAATGTGCAGGACAAAAAACTTTGACACCATAATGAAGAAAATAATAAAAAAAGAGCTACCCAGAACTTCAGAACATAGAAAATGAAATTATAATAGAAAGAATTCACAGATTGCCTCCAGAAAAAAACCTAAGGCTGAAAACTGAAAGACACATAGGAGCTAATTTAACAGTTTAATGTGGAAATGCTCTGCATGTGGCATGCTTTGCAAGCCCTTAGGAGAAGACCTTCAAATACAAAGGAAAGGACATTAGAATAATGCAAGCATCTACTAGAAAAAGTAGGAGGAAATGGAATAGTGTATTCTGAAGAGCACTAGATATCCAGCAAATCTGAGCCTAACCATATAGCACAAAAGATGGATATTCAATAATACAGAAGAGTTTGAAATATTTTTAGGAAGAAAACCAAAGCCGAAGAGATTATTTGCTAATTCAATATGCCAAACAACAGAAATGCAGGAGGAGCAAATACATGCAGACAGCAACAGCAACAGAATGACAACAGAAAGACCATTAAGAGAGTTCTTTCTAAATGTATACAAGGAGACAGGGATGAAGGTGGGAAGGAGCACAAAAAAAATGAAATTTTAAAAACTAATGAACAGGACTAACTGAAGTGGAGGAAAGGATGGGGGAATCGAGTGAGAGGAAAAAAGAGAGGGAAGAATTCTATAACCAGAGAAAAGCAGGAGAGAAAAAGGAACCAATAAACTGGAGGATGATGTTCTTAGCAATTGCTTCCTTACACTATAAAAGGAAAGGGATAACAAATGAGAAGAGGGGATCAGAGGTGAAGGGAAGAGTGCCCATGGGAACAGGGCCACCTTAAAAAATAATAAAGCGAAATAACTGAAGGAACATGAAAATGTTACAGCAGAAGAAAACTCATAACTTTAAAAAACCCACAATTTTAAAGACTGAAGAAAATATAAATCTAACTCTCAGAACTTTAGATGCAAATGGATTAATTAACCCAATAAAGAGAAAAAGACTGACAGAATGGATAAGAAAACAAAGCTCCATAATGTGTTGCTTATAAGAAATACATTTAAAAAACAAAGATATATACAAAATAAAACTGAGGGAATAGAAAAAGTTTTACTATGCATCAAGTGAGCCCAAACAAGCAGGAGCTGCCATTGCACCATCAGGCAAAGCAAAAACAACCACTCAAAAAATAAAAAGGGATAAACTAGGAAATTACATCATGCTGAAAGGAACCACAGACAACAAAAACATCAGTAATAAACTTACATTCACCATGTCTTAGCATTCAAATTCATATAGAAAATACTATCAGAGCTTCAAGAAGAAATAGAGAGTACCACAACAGAGATGGGAGACTTCAATATATCTCTCTGCATAAATCTAACAGAAAATATGGAAACGAATGAATTTCTGGAAAAACTGTAGTTAAAAGATTTGTGGCATCTTCTAATTGGGATAGCAAAAGAATGTAAATTTTTCTCTTTACCTTATGGAAACTGTACCAAAACTGACCATGTACTAGGTCACATAAATATTGCAAATAAATGTAAAAAGGCAGAAATAATTAATACATCCTTTACAGACCATAATGTAAATAAAAATAGAAATTGGTCAGGGGCCATAAACAAAAGATGCAGACCCAAATGAAGACTTAACAATGAATTCTTAAATAATGAGTGGGTCAAAGAAGAAATCATAGAAATAATTAATAACTACATGAAAGAAAATGATAATGATAAAACAACACATGAAAACTTCTGGGATGTGGCTAACATGGTCCTCGGGGGAAATCTTATTCTTACAATCATACATTTATATAATAGAGATTGATGAACTGAATATGCATTTTAAAAATAGGCAATCAACAAATAAACACAAAAGAGAAGTTATTAAAAATTAGAGAAGAAATCAATAAATTGGAAACAAAAACCTCATAGAAATGACAATTAAACTAAAACCTGGTTCTTTGAAAAAAATTAATAAAATTGATAAACCCTTAGCTATTTTGATTAAAAAGAACGCACAAATCAAATCAATAAAATGTCAAATGAGCAAGATGAAATCACAGCAAAACCAGAAAAAAATGAAAAGAATAATCAGACTATATTATGCTAATGAAACCAGGAACACAGAAGAAATAGAGGAATATCTTTAAAAATATCAATTATTCAAAACTATCTAAAGACTAGATAGGGATTTAAATAACAGAAATAGATCTAATTGTAAAGGAACTACAAAAGAAAAACTCCTAATCCTGATGGATTCATAGAAGAATTCTATTAAACTTTTAAAGGACAGTACCCATAATTCACAAATTATTCTCAAAAATTGAGAAAGAACCCTACCAGAATCCTTTTATGGGATAAATGCAGTTCTAATATCTAAACTAGGGAAAGATAAAATACAGAAAGAAAACTATATGCCAACATAATAAAAATGACTACTACCAAAATTAACTTACACTTTTAATACTATACCAATCAAATTATCAAGAGGATATTTTTCAGAACTTGATAAATAACATATTTGAAAAAAACAAAAGATTTAGAGAATCGAGGGAAATGATGAAAAGACATAAGAATAAAGGGGGGAAAGCACTTCCAGACCCCAAACTATATTTTAAAGCAGCAGTCATCAAGAAAATCTGGTACTGGTTAAAGAATAGAAGGATAGATTAATGGAACAGATTAGTCAAGGAAGATTTAGAAGCAATAGAACTTAACACAGTGTTTGATAAAACGGAAAACATAAACTACCTAGGGAAAAACTTCCTGTATGCTAAAAACTGCTGCGAGAACTAGAAAACAGTGTGGCAGAAATTAGGTTTAAACCAACACCTTATCCCACACTCCACAATATATTCTAAATGGATACATCACTTCAATATTTAAAATTATGCTACAAAAAAAAATTAAAAGAAGCAGATCACAAACTTCTCACAGCTATGGATGGAAGATGTATTCTTACAAACAAGATATAGAGGCAATTTCAAAAGATAAAACAGGTAATTTTGATTACTTGAAAGTGGAAAGCTTCTGCATAGACAACATGAATACATTTAGGATAAGAAACGAAGTGGTCAAATGTGAAAACATCCTTGTATCAAATTTCTTTGGCAAGGGTTTCGTGCTCTCTCCCTCCTTCCTTCCCTCCCTCTCTTTCTCTCTCTCTCTCTCTCTCCACACTATACACATACACATACATACACACACAAAATTAATAAATGTATATAAGACTAACAGCCATTCCCCAACAGATGAATGCTCAAAGGATATGAACACAAAGAAGAATC